TTGAAACAAATCTTTGCATATAACAAACTAGATGAATTGTTTATAGGCTAATTGATGTCTGTGCTTACAAGGTTTCCCTATCCACGAGAGCGAAAGTGAAAGTTAATAATATTTATCTCTCATTCTCGTGCTGTAGATGCTCTGTTTAACTGTTTTTTTGCTAGTGAAATGCTCAGTTTTTACAATTACACTTACTTTACGTCATGTACATAGCAAATGCACCATGGCATGACACAACTGGCTCTTAAAGGGAATGGGAGATGAGACTCTGATTGGTTTATTCTCAAAACACACCTATAACTCATTAAGAGAATAAGCTCAACCCTTTTAGACCATGCGCCACGGCATTTCCTCCTTATATTAGCAAAAATAGATTCTGCTTATGGTTTGCGCCCTGTGCTTTTCACATGGACCGTCAAAATAGAGCCCTAGAAGACAAAACGCAATGAACGCGGTGGCTTTTGGAGGCATGAGACGCTCTTTAGTGCAGATAGATGCTCAAGACAGTTCTGGAGGGACTACTAATAAAATAAGAATAATACTAAAGCACTGTGATGACGGACTGACGGAGGGCTGAGGCCTTTTACAAACAGCACAACAGCATTTCAGATCAGCAACAATGTAAAGCCGGAAACATGGAAATCTGCAAACCAACATTAATGCAAATCACCTGAAACACACATTTATATCTGTGAAGTAATCTGTCAAAAACTACATCACATCATGCAGACCGATGCACATGTGCAGAGTTTATACTGTGCGTTTCCAAAGTTTATGCCCCCTTTTTTTTAACTGGATAAAAAGTTTTAACTCAATTGTGCGCATAAGATTTCTACAGTATGTGCATTTTCAAAATGGATGGCATTTCCATTAAGCATTTTTAAAAATGCAATGCTCCAAAATGTGCATATATAGAAGATGGAAGAAAACATAGCAAGAGACTAAAAAAAGTCAATAAAGCCAATGGCTGTTTTATTTTTTACAACATTTTCCCAGAGTACCTTCCTTTGTGTTCAACAGAAGAAAGAAACTCGGGTTTGGAACAATGGTGTATATGCACACAGACTACACACAGACTACACACAGGCTGCACGATACTGGAAAAAACTGACATTGCAATATTTCCATTCACTGCAATATGCTGTATATTACATGCTGTATAAGTGCAATTTCAGCAAATGACTAGAACAGCTTGTAAATAATTTTCAATCGATTGCGATGATTTTATAGTGGATTCTATAGTGCATAAAATATCATTTTAAAAATCACAAGCAAAGTTAAATGCAACAGAGGAAACATGCAAATAAACAATGATTTAAGATTTTCTGGGGAGGCAAACAGTATTCAGAAGCATAAATTAAATAATCCCTGTCTATTAATAATCTTTAAGCTAATCTTTTCATTTATTGTGCCCAAATGGCTTAAATTTGCTTCAGATTCTTACAGTCAGGTCTTAAAAGCTCATGCAAATAATATAATAAATATGAGACTCCTGAATTATGAAATTACGCAGCTATTTTGTTATCTGTAATGTCTAGTCAACTATAATCCCAACCACATAGCAGACCCCTGTGATGTGACTAATGTGCAGGTCTAACACAGACCTTTCATTTTCAGTCCGCCAGCCCAAGCGCTTCCGGTGAATTACAAATTCGCCATGTTTATGATCCGATTTTTAAAAAAATCAATGATCTTCACTGTCTGACTGATGCACAGTGCATCCGGAAAGTATTGATAGCTCTTCACTTTTTCCACGATTTTATGTTCCAGCCTTATTCCAAACTTAATTGATTTCCTTAACATTCTACACACAATCCCCCATAATGACAATGTGAAAAAAGAGTTTTTGAAATGGTTGCAAATTTATAGCGAATAAAAAAAGCTGAAAGATTACATGAACATCAGTATTCACAGGTTTTGTTCAACACTTTGTTGATGCACCTTTGGCAGCAATTACAGCCTTAAGACTTGTTGAATATGATGCCACAAGCTTGGCACACCTGTCTATGGGAATTTTGGCACATTCCTCTTTGCAGGACAACTCAAGCTCTATCCGGTTGGATGTGATGCGACGGTGTACAGCCGTTTTCAGATCTCTCCAGAGATGTTCAATAGGATTTGGGTCTGGGCTCTGGCTGGGCCACTCACTGAGTTGTTGTGAAGCCGCTCCATTAATATTTTGGTGGTGTGCTTTGGTCATTGTCCTGCGGGAAGATGAAGCGTCGCCCCAATCTGAGGTCGAGAGCGCTCTTGTGCAGGTCTTCATTCAGGATGTCTCTGTACATCGCTGCATTCATCTTTCCCTCTATCCTGACTAGTCTTCCAGTTCCTGCTGCTGAAACACATCCCCACAGCATGATGCCAACACCACCATGCTTCACTGTAGGGATGCTGTTAGCCTGCTGATGAGCGCTGCCTGCTTTTCTCCAAACGTAACGCCTGGCGTTCACTCCAAAGAGTTCAGTTTGAGTCTTATCAGAGCACAGAGTTTAGTTTCTGATGCTCTGAGAGTCCTTCAGATGCCTTTTGGCAAACTCCAGGCGGGGAGTGTCTTCCGTCTGGTCACTCTACCATACAGATGCCTGATTGGTGGATTGCTGCACAGATGGTTGTCCTTCTGTAAGGTTCTCCTCTCTCCACAGAAGAACGCTTGAGCTGGTTATTGGTCACCTCCCTAAGTAAGGCCCTTCTCCCCTGATCACTCAGTTTAGATGTCCGGCCAGCTCTAGGAAGAGTCCGGGTGGTTAAACATCTTCCACTTTCGCTGTGCTCATTGGAGCTTTCAGAGCAGCAGAAATGTTTCTGTAACTTTCCCCAGCCTTGTGCCTGGAGACAATCCTGTCTTGGAGGTCTACAGACAGTTCCTTTGTCTTCATGCTTGGTTTGTGCTTTGACATGCACTGTCATCCCTGGGCCCTTATATAGACAGGTGTAGCCATTTCAAATCATGTCAATCAGCTAAATTGAGCACAGGTGAACTCCAATGAACCCGCTGAAACATCTCCAGATTGATCAGTGGAGACAGAATGTACCTGAGCTCAATTTAAAGCTTCACGGCAAAGGTTGTGAATACTGATGTACATGTGATTTTAAAGATTTTTATTTTTGATAAATTTGCAACAATTTCAAAAACTTTTTTTTTTCCACATTGTTATAGTGGGGGATTATGAAAGGCCATTCCCGCCACTGAATAAAATAAAAAAATAAATACAATGTAAACAAAAATTATAAAGTCAGAATTGTGACATTATAACTCGCAATTGCAACTTAGTAACTCGGAATTGCAACTTTATAACTTCAAATTTCAATTAAATCGGAATTGCAACTTAATAACTCGGAATTAAGACTTAACTCAGAATTGCGACTTAGTAACTTGTAATTTGAACTTTATAACTCCAGATTGCAATTAACTCAGAATTGAGACTTAGTAACTCGGAATTGCGACTTAGTAACACGGAATTGGAACTTTATAACTTCGAATTGCAATTAACTCGGAATTGCAACTAAAAAACTTGGAATTAAGACTTAACTCAGAATTGCGACTTAGTAACTTGTAATTGGAACTTTATAACTCCGAATTCAACTAACTCAGAATTGAGACTTAGTAACTCGGAATTGCGACTTTATAACTTCGAATTGCAATTAACTCAGAATTGCGACTAAAAAACTCGGAATTAAGACTCAACTCAGAATTGCGACTTAGTAACTTGTAATTTGAACTTTATAACTCCGGATTGCAATTAACTAAGAATAGAGACTTAGTAACTCGGAATTGCGATTTAGTAACACGGAATTGGAACTTTATAACTTCGAATTGCAATTAACTCAGAATTGAGACTTAGTAACTCGGAATTGTGATTTAGTAACACGGAATTGGAACTTTATAACTTCGAATTGCAATTAACTCAGAATTGCGACTAAAAAACTCGGAATTAAGACTTAACTCAGAATTGCGACTTAGTAACTTGTAATTGGAACTTTATAACTCCGAATTGCAACTAACTCAGAATTGAGACTTAGTAACTTGGAATTGCGACTTAGTAACTCGGAATTGCGATTTAGTATCTCGGAATTGCGACTTTATTACTTGGAATTGCAATTAACTCGGAATTGAGACTTAGTAACTTGGAATTGAGACTTAGTAACTCGGAATTGAGACTTAGTAACTTGGAATTGAGACTTAGTAACTCGGAATTGAGACTTAGTAACTTGGAATTGCGACTTAGTAACTTGGAATTGCGATTTAGTATCTCGGAATTGCGACTTTATTACTTGGAATTGCAATTAACTCGGAATTGAGACTTAGTAACTTGGAATTGAGACTTAGTAACTCGGAATTGAGACTTAGTAACTCGGAATTGAGACTTAGTAACTCGGAATTGAGACTTAGTAACTCTGAATTGTTATCATTTGTTATCATTCATTGGCAGGAATGTGCTTCCATAGGTATTGTGTGTAGAATGTCGAGAAAATAAATAAATTTAATCAATTTTGGAATAAGACTGTAACATAAAAACATGTAGAAAAAGAAAAGCACTATGAAGACTTTCCGGATGCTCTGTATGATATAAAGTGCCTCTCAGACCAGACAGAAAGCACTGCATTAAATTACATTTTTTCTGCATCATTTCTTTAAAACATGTATTTTCAATGGAGTTGGAGGCTTTTGCTACTGACGGTGCTAGTGTTTACACCGTCTTTCATCTCATTTTACACTTGAACACCTGAATGAAGGCTTAAATCTATTTAACTGATTATACATTAATTACATCACAACATCGATGCTGTAAAACTAACCTTAAAAAATTAAAAATAGTCTCATAAACCTTTCACCGGAAGTTTAGCATTATCATTAATACACTAGCTGTGCATATACGCCATTGCTGAAGATGAGTATCCCTAAATGATGACAGAATTTTCATGTTTTGGATGAACTCTCCCTTTAACAGCCTCCTTCTTGTATTTTCACTCGCGTCTTCTTCTGTGTCTCCTCATGGCAGCGTGCAAGAGAAAGGAGCAGGAGCAGCACAAAGACAGAAACATGGTGCCCAAGAAGCAGCGGCTGGTGTTCACCGACCTACAGCGCCGAACACTCATCGCCATCTTCAAGGAGAACAAACGACCCAGCAAGGAGATGCAGATCACCATCTCGCAGCAGCTGGGCCTGGAGCTCTCCACGGTCAGCAACTTCTTCATGAACGCCCGGCGCCGCTGCGTGGACCGCTGGCAGGACGAGCACGCCAGCAGCCCCGGACAGCCCGGGACTTCAGCCAACACCTTTTCCAAGGCGTAAACGCAGAGGAAGACGCTTCGACGCATGTGCAGCACATGATGATCTACGGTGCCCATCAAAACTCCTCCGATTGAGAGTCGGAGGAGCGCGGATTTCATTAATTTTTTTCACAAAATAACATTTTATACAGTGGTCGAGAGAGCTTAATGTGCTGCAGTTTAAGAAAACACTTGAAATTATAAAAAACGCCAGCTAGTTGAGAAAAGATCTTCATCAGTTTGACAGCACAATGCAAACAAATAAGGAAAATGTGCTGCAAACAAATAAAAAAAACATGCTACAAATCATTACAATGCAAACTAATTAATAAAATCCAAAGCAAATTTTCACATGCAAACAAACAAACAAACAGGATGCAAAATCCTCAGGACACGAATTAAGAACACACAATGCAAAATCTTAACGCAAACAAATGAAGTAAACGTGTTGCAAAATCTCACAATGCAAATTAAGAAAACACAATGCAAATTCTCACGACGCAAACAAATTAACAACACACTGCAAACTCTAATAACGCAAACAAATTAACAATACACTACAAATGCGCACAATGCAAATGAAAGAAAACGTGTTTTAAAACAAATTTTAAAACAAACAAATTTTAAAAATGCGCGATAAATTCTCACATTGCAAACAAATTAAGAAAACGCACTGCAAATTCTCACAATACAAACTAGTGCTAAAATGTGCTGCAAAATCTCACAACTGCAAATTCTCACATCGTAAACAAAGAAAGCGCACTGCAAATTATCACAATACAGTCAAATTAAGAAAACAAGCTACAAATCATTACAATGCAAACGAAAAGCAAACACTGCAAAATTGTACAGCACAAACAAATTAAGAAAATGCGCTGCAAATTCTCGCAATACAAACTAGTTAATAAAACACGCTGCAAAATCTCATAACGAAAACGAAAAAAAAAACGCATTGCAAATTCTCACTGCACAATTAAATTAAGAAAACAAGCTACAAATCATTGCAATGCAAACAAATTAAGAAAATGGTCAGCAAAATCGTACAGCGCAGACGAATTAAGAAAACGAGCTGCAAAATTCTCAAAACAATCAAATTAAAAAAAACAAGCTACAAATTATTACAATGCAAACAAATTAAGAAAACGCGCTGCAAAACTGTACAGCGCAAACAAATGAAGAATCTCATAACATAAACAAAGAAAGCGCATTGCAAATTCTCACAACACAATCAAAAGAAAACAAGCTACAAATCATTACAATGCAAACAAATTAAGAAAATGCACTGCAAAATCGTACAGCACAAACAAATTAAGAAAACGCGCTGCAAAATCATACAGCGCAAACAAACTAAGAAAATGTAATGCAAAATCGTAAAGCGCAAACAAATCAAGAAAACGCGCTGCAAAATCATAAAGCGCAAACAAATTAAGAAAATGCGCTGCAAAATCAAAGCGCAAACAAATTAAGAAAACGAGCTGCAAAATCTTACAGCGCAAACAAATTATGAAAATGCGTTGCAAAATCATAAAGCGCAAATTAAGAAAACGAGCAGCAAAATTTTACAGCGCAAACAAATTTAAAAATGTGCTGCGAAATCGTACAGCGCAAACAAATTAAAACACGCTGCAAAATTCTCACAATGCAAATTAAGAACGTGCTGCAAATTCTCATAATGTAAACAAAGAAAACGCAATCAAATTAAGAAAACAAGCTACAATTCATTACAATGCAAACAAATTAAGAAAATGCACTGCAAAATCGTACAGTGCAAAAAAAGAAAATACGCTGCAAAATCGTACAGCCCAAACAAATTAAGAAAACGCGCTGCAAAATCATACAGCGCAAACAAACTAAGAAAATGCAATGCAAAATCGTAAAGTGCAAACAAATTAAGAAAACGAGCTGCAAAATCTTACAGCGCAAACAAATTGAGAAAACGTGCTGCAAAATTGTAAAGCGCAAACAAATTAAGAAAATTCGCTGCAAAATCGTACAGCACAAACAAATTAAGAAAACAAGCTGCAAAATTCTCACAATACAAGCTACTTAATAAAACATGCAGCAAATTCTCACAACATGCTGTAAACAAATTAAAAAACATGCTACAAAACATTACAATGCAAACTAATAAAGCAAACGCCCTACAAATTCTTACATTGCAAACAAATGAAGAAAACAAACATGACTGATCAGGCTATTTAGGTTAATATACAAAAATACAAGTGAACAGTGTAATCGGGATGTTAAAATAAACAACCCCCCCACCCCCACACACAACCTCACACTTCATCGCACAATAAACAAATCCCAGCCGGGTCCGTCACGTTTTTTAAGTCCCCTAGAAACATCTCCATTGTGTTCCCTGCTATTAGCATGTGTTGTGAGTAAATGCTATGTGTTTAATTAATTTACTTACGTTGTGGGGATGTGCAACACCTATGCTATCAAACTAACCAAGATCTTGTCCTAATTTGCTAACATTTCTGTAATTGCATGCGCATTTCTCATTTTGCAGCGCAATAAGCTCTCTCGGCCAACATCACTTTCACTAGGTTTATTTCGTTCCGTCACAAATATTTCGTTAATACCCCCCTCCCCCCGAGCTGTGCTTGATATTTGAGCTGACCATCTCTCACCTCAGTCTCTGAATTAGCTATACGGAATTTTCTCTCTCTCATAGAGTAGCAGAAAGAAGGCAATACGTATTTTAGCACACGAGCTTTGGTTTACCACCCCCTTATTTGACCTTCACATTCATATTCATAACGCTGGATGTATTCAGGAGTCTCGCCGTCTCAGTCTGTATTCTCACTGCCAGTGTGGCGCCTTGTTCTTGCTTCAGCACAATGATAAAGGGATGCAAAGAATCAATCAGCTCTCTGTATTTGCCCCTAAAGAATCATTTTACCGTAGGGGTTTTACAGAGCGCTTCTTCTGCACAGAGCAGCGGCGCCACCTCCTGGAGAACCGCAGAAACACACTCGCGCTATTATTATTATTATTACCTCTGATCATATGCTGCTTTCAAGTTACACTCGTGTATTATTTTGATACATTAGAAGTCACTTTATTTTATTGATAGCTACTAGTTAAGTCTTAATATTTTAAAATTATTTAGTTTTTTAACAACACAAATACAAGTTATGATATCTTAATAATGCTGTCAATACAAAATCTGACGTCTTGGCAAACTATAAGACACCTTTTAAAAATAATATTTAAAATATTATATTTTTTGTGTGTATTTAATTATTTAATGTTTTAATTAAATTATTTCAACACATTTTATATTAATTTAATAATTTAGCAACTAGAAAAACCTTTATTTTTGGTAATATTATTGTGCATTGTTGTATACATTTTGGCATTTATATTTATTTTTATTGGTTTCAACTGTGTGATTTCTATGATCTCAATTTAACCCTTGTTAATTTGTTTATTTTTCAGTATACCTCAAGTTAAACTGAACGAAAACAAATAAATATTACCTGGTTTTTGGCTAAATAAAATACAAATATTTTCTTTTATATTTTTAAAAACATTTTATTTTAATTATTTTATGCAAGTGTTAAATTCAGTTCCTGGAGGGCCGCAGCTCTGCATAGTTTGGTTCAACCCTAATTAAACACACCTGATCAGACTAACTCCTTCAGGCTTGTTTGAGACCTAAAGGTAATGCCGCGGTCACACTAGAGTTTGATATGCAAAATTCTGTCGTACAGCGCTGCGAAAAGGGGCGGGATTAAACAAGATGATTAGACATTTAAAAAGCGAGCGATTGGTCCGTATTTAAAATTTCTGTATAGAGAGGTCATGTTTTGATCCTTGATTAGTCTTAGGCATTCACGTGATGCGTTTTCACAGTTCACAAAGCTTGAAATTTGCACCACAGCGAACTGCGAAACTTGTTGCACGAGGCTGCGTTTCCTGTCTGACGCATTCGCATGC